GCTGGACAGTTGCCACATCTCCAGTTAATATTGTGCAGACATAAGCATAGACAGGAGGATGCAGATATGCCATTTGGAATCATGGAAATTGGGTTGGAATTCCATGCCCTGAATTGGAAGGAGCTAATTCCTCCTACCTTTTCCATCTGCAGAGTGAGAGGCATCATTATATGCTGTAAGAGCTTTATAAGGTAGGAGTCTCACAAAGATACATAGCCCTGGACAATCTCAGGGAGATTAGATATGGCTCGTGCACAGAAAATGCCTCTCACTTTAAAAACAACCACCTGAATATTGTAACCATTCCCTACAGAGGTTGAAGATATATTTTTAAAAGAGTTAAAGGAAATAAAACCATCAAGGCCTAATGTGGGACCTATCACCACTACATCAATATTTGTCTGTGACTGAACTTTTCTTACAGTGCAAAATCTGCTAAGGCTTTCATTCCAGAAAAGCTGGCCTGGGTGCTTAAACAGCAGTGGGAAAAAAAAAAAAAAAAAAAAGCAAGCCACGTTTAGTGCTTGCTACTTTGCAGTTTGATTTTGCTGACAATTCTCAAGTTGTTTCTCCATTTGGTCCTCCAAACCCATACATAGCAGAGTAACCATTATCCTCCTAAGTCATTGTCGTAGGAAAATAGGGCAGGCCTCCCCACCTCAGGTGCAGAGATGTTGCTCAGTAAGTGCCCAGTTATGTGACTTGCCTTATTTTCATTTGTAATGAAGATGTCTTGCTCTGCGTAGTTTTCTGCACCATATCCCTCCTCCCTGTGGTTCGCAAAATCACTGAAAGATAGTAAAATGACAGGAAATATTTGTCATTAAATTGACAAAAATTTTTATTTTTTTCTCCTTTTTACAAAATTTTTTATTGTTCAATTACAGCTGTCCCTGTTTTCCCCCTATTACTCTCCCCTGCCCTACCCACCCCCACCTTCCACATTCAGTCCTCCCCCCACCTGGTTGTCTTTGTCCTTGGGTCCCTTATACATGTTCCTTGACTTGCCCCTTCCTCTTCTTTTCCCCGTTATCCTTCTCCCTGCTCCCCTCTGGTCACTGTCAGTTTGTTCTTTATTTTCATGTCTCTGGTCTATTTTACTTGCTTGTTTGTTTTGTTGATTAGGTTCTACTTATAGGTGAGATCTTATGGTTTATTTGTTTTTCACCACCTGGCTTATTTCAGTTAACATAATGCACTCCAGATCCATCCATGCTGTCACAAAACATAAGAGTTCCTTCTTTCTCTTTGCTGCATAGTATTCCATTGTGTAAATGTGCCTCAGTTTTTTGATTCACTCATTTAATAATTGGCACTTAGGTTGTTTCCAGCACTTGGCTATTGTAAATTGCACTGCTATGAACACTGGGGTACATAGGTTCTTTTGGATTGGTGTTTCAGGATTCTTAGGGTATAGTCCCACCAGTGGAATTGCTCGGTCAAAAGGCAGTTCCATTTTTAGTCTTTTTGAGGAAATTCCAAACTGTTTTCCACACCAGCTTCACCAGTCTGCATCCCCACCAGCAGTGCACTAAGGTTCCCTTTTTTCCACAACCTCACCAGTCCTGGTTTGTTGACTTGTTTATGATAGCCATTCTCACCTGTGTGAAATGGCATCTGTTTGCAGTTTTAATTTGCATCTCTGCTGGCTAGTGATGTTGAGCATCCTTTCATATATCTCTGGGCCCTCTGTATGTCCTCCTTGGAGAAATGTCTATTCAGGTCCTTTGCCCATTTTTTAATTGGATCATTTGTCTTCCAGGTGTGGAGTTGTGTGAGTTCTTTATATATTTTGGAGATCAAACCCTTGTCCTAGTTATCACTGGCAAATATATTTATCCATATGGTTGGTTCCATTTCCATTTTGCTAATGTTTTCTTTAGCCTTGCAGAAGCTTTTTATTTTGATGAAGTTCATTTGTTTATTCTTTCCTTTATATCCCTTGTTCTAGGGGACATATTGGTGAAAATATGTGTGCAATATCTGAGGGTTTCCTGCCTATGTTCTCCTCTAAGACTTTTATGGTGTCACAATTTATATTTAAGTCTTTTATCCAACTTGAGTTTATTTTTGTGTGTGGTATAAGTTGGTGGTTGAGTTTCTTTCTTTCTTTCTTTCTTTTTTTTTTGCATATAGCTGTCCACATCTCCAAAGACCATTTGTTGAATAGGCTATTTTTACTCCATTTTATGCTCCTGCCCCTTTTGTCAAATATTAATTGACCATAGAGACCTGGGTTTATTTCTGGGCTCTCTGTTCTGTTCCATTGATCTATGTGTCTGTTCTTATGCCAGTACCACGCTGTTTTGATTACTGTGGCCTTGTAGTATAGTTTGATATAAGGTATTGTGATCTCTCATACTTTGTTCTTCTTTCTTCAAATTGCTGAGGCTAGTTGGGGTCATTTATGGTTCCATATAGATTTTTGAAATGTTTATTCTTATATCTGTGAAATATGTCATTGGTATTTTAACAAGGATTGCATTGAATGTATAAATCACTTTGGGTAGTATGGATATTTTGATGATGTTAATTCTTCTAATCCATGAACATGGTATATGCCTCCATTTATTTGTGTTTTCCTTAATTTCTTTCTTCAATGTTGTGTAGTTTTCTAAATATAGGTCTTTTACCTCCTTGGTTAGGTTTATTCCTAGGTACTTTATAAAATGACAGGAAATTTTTTACCTAGATTTTTCCCCCATGATATGCATATATAGCTATGCAAATATAAGCCTGTGATGGCAGCCCCCTTCCCATGTACTCCCAAAGACCCTGTGCCTTGTTCCTCTCTATAATCCCATGACCTGGGCATTGTCTGGAATGTGGTCACCTCTCCATAAATCTTCGCTGACTCATCAATGTTGAAAACTCCTCCTGGAAGACTCAATCACACACACATACACACACATATATATTTTAGTTTGTTTGTTTTGGCATAGTCTTTTTCTTTTATTCTCCTTACTATATAGCTTTGCTCTTAATGCCTATCCTTAAAATTGGTAGACTTTTAGACTAAAAGAAAGTTCTTCTAGTTGCACACCCTGTAGTTTTGTAAGAAACTACTAAAAGGATGATTTTTTAAAAATTCTCATCTGAGGATATGTTTGTTGATTTGAGAGAGAGAGGAAGAAAGAGGGAGAGAGAAAAGAAACATTGATGTGAAAGAGAAACATTAATGGGCTGCCTCCTGTTGCCCCCTGGCCAGGGATTGAAAACACAACCCTCTGGTGCATTGGATGATGCTCCAACCAACTGATCCACCCAGCCAGGACTAAAAGAACAATTTTTTACATACAATTATAATTCAAAAAATTTAACAATTAAAATGAATAAATAAATGAACAATTTCTTATGCAAAGTATTTTCATGGGAGAGGTCCAGTGACTTTTTTTTTAGTACAATAGTTCAAAATATTCTTCATACCCACTTTTACATGAGAGTTTCCTTCTAGGAAGACATATCCAATTCATGTGGGAAAACTTAGCACTATGTCTGTGAGAGGGTGAGCAGAGACAGAAATACCAAAAGTAATTATGCCTTGCCTTTGTTTACTGGGTAACACTTTAGCAGACATTACCATGTCCCCACCCCAGATGCTGGATGAATGGCACAGCCACTAATATCCCATCCTACTAATGAAGAAATTGACCCCCACAGGAAGGAAGTGACTTCTCCAAGGTTACCTGGCTAGTTGTGACAATAGGATAGAAACCTGAGTTTTTCAGGTCTTTGCAATGTGATGCACTGTGGACTATGTTATGAAATTAAATGTGTTGCTTGGGTGATTCTATAAACAAGAATAATAAGTAAAGGGAAGAAATCGATGCAAAAGCTAGAGCACTAATTACTAACTCCGAAGAAGCTACACTGCGGAAGATCTAGGGAGGACCTGGAGGAGCTGAGCTGTGCTGTAGTTGGAAAAGCGTGTGCTGTTCTGTTTGGACGGGGGGAGGAAACTTGTGTTCTCAGAAGGGCATCTGATTATAAACTATGGGATGTGAGTACTTGAAATATCAGGGGGATCACTTTGTAAAATATATAATTGTCTAAACACTATGCTGTATACCTGAAACAAATACAAAATAATACTGATTGTAAACTGTGACTGGAAAAGGAAATTTAAACAAAAAGAAAAAAGAAAGGGATGCAATTTTCTTCTGTGTTTCAATTATTTAAGCTTCACCTCCCTACGAAATTCTATGAGGCATCTTCTCCCCGAGAATTCGATTTCTCCTCTGACAGCAGTTAGGTGGATGACAGGAAGATGGATTGGGTTGGGGTTTCCATGGACAAATACCTTATAATAAAGGCCAGAGTGCCTGGCTCTCTCCCTGTGCATTTCCTTTCCCTGACACGCTTTTAGGGGCAAAAAGCAAAGGTGCTGATGAGGGGGAAAAGAATCGTTTAAAAATGACTATCTGACCTTCTTGTAATCAACTTCGTGCAACATTTTATTTTTCAAGAAATAGAATTTTATTTAAATAGCCTTAAGGATTTTGTATTTGTTCTTCTGATAATCTTCACCCGTTAGTAATAATACTTGGTTTTAGAAGTCAGTCTGTCAGTTGCTCAGCCAACAAATATATATATTCAGAGTCCACTGGGCATCAGGCTCTGCTGACGAAGAACAAATAAACAACGAGTGACTGGCTGATGAATAAGATATAAATCTTGTCACCAAGGAACCCACATTCTAGAAAGAGAAAGACAATTGGTAAACAAATTAATAAAAACTATCATTCGGGGCTGAAAACCTGTGTTTGGTGGGGACGTCTGTTCCTGTGCTGAGCCCGAGCACAGTCGGAGCTCCCTAAGGCCTGAGTGGAGATGAATATGAACCTCCCCAAGGCCACACAGCCGGTGTCTGGGGCTCAGCCTCCCCCATGGCTCCAGTCAGGCGCAGTCTCATCCAAGTGAGACTAATATGCATGGTTAAATGTATACAGCATCACCTGAGTTCGAAACAGTGACCACATGTTGCTTTATTTTTATTCCAGGAACCTTGGAAAATCAGGACTCAGAGTTTCTTGCTTGGGTCTTGGTAAGTACTTGGCGTATCATGTAGGGTGGGCCGGGAGGTGGGAGATTGGGGAGCATGCCAAGGAGTGACTGGGATGCAGGTCTGAGGCGAAAAGGACTTTGTGACCAGCATTGCCCATTTCTGCTTCGGATCCTTTCCTGCCCAACGCAGCCCCGCCTCTCTCTCACTCAAGGAGACACTGTGTCCTTGATGCCTTCTGGGGGCCCATCAGACAGAAATAAATCACATGGGAAGGCACGCTCTGGACGAAGACTCACGTGGTACTTCCCTTTAGCGCATGTGAGGGACCTCGTGGCCCCCCGTCTGTGCGCTCGCCTGTCCTGCAGCCTCACCCGCACTTTTTTATCCTTGTTTTCTCTTTGCCAAAATTCTTCACTTGTTTTTCTATGTCGTTTTATATTTTAGATTTTTATATACTTTCACAATCTACCTTACATACTTTAGGAACAGGGTGATTTTATATATATATATAAAACTAAATTTGGGAGGAGGGTTTCTTGACTCCTATTGAATGGAAGTATGGAGACCAGGGAAGGGATGACAATGAATGAAAAAAGAAAGTGGCAGCTAATTCCGCCTCCTTTCACTGTATTTCAAAGATATTAAAGTTGTTGAGGCCTAAGTTTCCCTGATTCTTGCTAATGATCTGATTTGGGAGGTAAGGGTGATCTTTGTTCACTGTAAGTCTAAGGGACTTCAGCTTTACTTAATTTAGAGCTCTAGTCTTGTTACTGCTCACTTCTGTTTTAAAGGAGATTCACTATCAGGGATAGTCTAACCTTAGTTTTATAAGAATTAATAATTCTCATAATAATTATTCACTATCCACTTTTGAAAGAAACTATAAATATAGCTGCCTATAAATATACTAATTTAAGAAAATACAAATTAAGGAATATGGTAAAAAATCATTGACCAATTATCTCATAGAGTCAGGAGCTATAGTAGAGAATCATTTAGTCAAAAGGACATAAAAAATTCTGCCCTGGCTAGTGTGGCTCAGTGGAGTGCCAGCCTGTGAGCTGAAAGGTCACTGGTTCGATTCCCAGTCGGGGCACATGCCTGTGTTGCAGGCCAGGTCCCCAGCTGGGGGTGCACAAGAAGTAACCGATCAATGTGTCTCTCACACATCAGTGTTTCTCTCCCTTTCTTTCTACCTCCTTTCCTCTCTCTCTAAAAATAAATAAGTAATTTTTTTAGTACATAAAAAATTCAACCAAAGGCCCGTAAGACTATAAAAAATCTTAGGTATCTATGATGTGCTGCATGTAAATGAGTCTCCAGAAGGCAGACAGCAGTTTGTTAGAAACCCCATGTGCTTGAGCTGTAGGGGTGAACTCTGGAGCAGACGATTCAGGAGCAGAAGTCCCGATTTGAGCTTCAAGCTTCTCTGAGAGTCTGAACACTTGTGATAAGACACTGCATGAAAAATAGGAGGAAACAAGGAAGTTTAAGGGTTGACTGGCTTCATTCAAAACAGGTAACAAAGCTTGACAGCTTGAATAAGCATTCTTTAAGAAATTTTCTGAGCTACCTCTGTAAGCGAGAAGAGACAAAAAAAATTAGAGAAAGGAATAATGCACCCGCCTTAGATAATTTGTCAGGGTCTGCAGACCCCATCTGTCAAACCGAGGGGGGGCTGGGTGTACTGCTGTGGGCTCGGGGTGCCAGCAAACAGCCCGTGTTCAACGGGAGCTTTGGAAACTAAGTATTAAGTGTTCCAAGCAATCCCAGAACTGTAAATGTCCTTTATTTAAATACTTGAAAAGCCATAATTAAAGCTAACAATTCTGACTTTCTTCTCTACCAGAGGACTGGCTGGGAACTTCTTGCCCTGCCAAGCTTTCTTTTGATCAACTAAAACCATGTGTAACTGAGAGCAAGCAGGGGGAGTAACTTGAGGATGAACTGAAAATATACCTGAAGGAACACAGCTCTGCCGATGAGAGAAATAGGGGAAAAAATTAAGTGGCCAAACCCATTTGTGGGTTGCTGTGACTGACCTGGTTTATAAAAACACTGGCAACTACTATTGAGACTCAAAGTCATTTAAACTGATGGAAAAAGTAAATCCATCAAAGAGTGACCGAAAATCATCTCAGTCTAGTGGGAGGTGAGACCCTCTTCTCGGAGAGGAAGAATCATTCATTCTGAGCAAACATTTAGGAAACCAGCCCTTGTGCTGGTTATAGGGGACACCAAGATGAAAGCAGCAAGGACCTTGCTCTCAGACAGCTCCCAGTGCAGCAGGAGTCATGCACGCAGAAACAGACATTGCATGTGACAACGCTGCAGTAGAGAGTCCAGGACGAACCAAGCACAAGGAAAGGCTCTTGGGGAATTTGGGACAGCTTCACAGGGCGGATGCTGCACAGTTGAGACTTGAAGGGAGTCATCAAATGGAGAAGGAGGTGGGAAAAGGGGGTGAAGAATTTGAGATAGAGTGAGCATTTCAAGCAATGGCCCGGAGGGAGACTCCCCCAGAGCAGGAGGTACTTGGGGAAACACTGGTGTGTGTGCAGAATATTGTGAACGCAAGGTGCCTGGGAACCTTAAGAGATGAGCCTAGAAGGAGAGCTAGGCCTGACTGGGAGCTCTCGCTTGCTCCGCTAAGGCCGTCAGCTCTTGTCTTCTAGGTCTCTGGTGTTCCTCCGAGTCCTAAGGTCCCAAGGTCTCAGGGAAAGCTTGGAGGATAAGTGACAGACAGGGCTGTCTCCACACTCCTCCGCCCATCAAAGTGGCTCTTTTTCTAAATGTAGATATAAATTTTTCAATGTAGTAAGTAACAAAGGACTATTTTTTAGAGTGGTTTTCAGTTCATAGCAAAACTGAACAAAAAGTACAGAAAGTTCCCCTTGCCCCACATACACACAGCTTCCCCCACTTTGGATATGGCGCACCAGAGTCGTACCCAGGTTACAATTTCATGTTACCACATTACTATCTCCCGAAGACTATCGGTCACATTAGGTACATGTGTAACTCTTGGTGTTTTACATTCTGTGGGTTTGAATAAATGAACTCGGCATATATCAACCATTGTATCACACCAAGTAGTTTCGCTGCCCAAAAAATCCTCTGTGCTCTTGCCTATTCATCTCTCCCTTCCCCGTAACCCCTGGCAACCACGGATCTTTTTACTGTCGCCATAGTTTTGCATTTTGCAAAATGTCATATAGTTGGAATCATACAATATGTGGCTTCTTCAGGTTGGCTCCTTTCACTGAGTAATATGCAGTTAATTTCCCTCCATATCTTTTCATGATTTAGTAGCTCCTTTTGTTTTAGTTCGTCACATCACATTTTGAAGTGGGGCAGGTGGGGGAGGTGGAATTCTGCCAAACAAAAGTTTAAAACTCTGCTCTAGTGTGTGAAAAACCATTTAAAAACTTGGGTCAGAAGTAGGACATGATCAGACATTTAGAATTGTTTTCTGGCAGTGATACAAAGGCTACATTAGAGGGGGAAAGTGTTGAAAGCAGGGATAGGCAGATAAGTTAGGGGCCAGATGACGAGGCAGTGGTGTTGAACATGGACCGGAAGGAGATGGTTATTTAGGAGGAAGAATAATCGGGACTTGGTGACCTTGGGTGCAGAATGAGAAGTCGCCCTGCACAGAGAAGGATGCCCAGGTTCCTGGACTGAGTGTGGGGGGGATGAGACCAAATCTCAGGAGGAAATGCAGGAGGGAACAGTCAGAGGAGGGAGGATTCAGAGAAGCAGGAGCTGCGTTGGAAAGTGGTGATCAGAGAGCCTGTGAACTCCTGCTTCAGTTACCCAGAGGGAGCTCGGGGCTGGAAAAAAAAGACTCGGGAACTTCTAACCCAGGTGGTGGACCCTGGGTTGTTATTAAGATCGCCAGCACAGAGGACTGAGCTATTTGCCCAGGTTTCAAATGGTGGCCTTGTGGAGTTTGCCAGATTGTATGTTCCCTGACAGCAGCCTCTGTTTTTTTCTGCACCCCTATTGTGCCTTTAGCAGATCACAATATCTGGCGAGTAGTAGGTGCTCAAAAATATTTACTGAATGAGTATCTGCATAGATGGGTCAATTGCTAAGGAATGAAATAAAGCGCACCAGGTGAGAGTGAAGATCTGGCAGAGGGCAGACAGCATGAATCGATGGGGTCCAGCCAACCCAGTTCTTTGGTTTTCTTCAGCAGCATTTCAACTCAGAAACAGAGAAGGCCGAGTGGAAGTGGAGGGTGGGGGAAGAGCTAGAGATCAGCCCAGTGTGAGGACTGTCCCCAGAGCAGGTCAGGGCCCAGGGGTCTACCGCATACACCATGCCATGGAGTGCATGAGTTGGCTCAGAGCCTTCTCAGCAGGGGCTCACTCCTGCCGTTAGCAAGAGGCAACTGCCCACACTGAGTGGCTCCACATGGTCTGACATGAGGAGCAGGAGGCCCATCTCATCCGTGCCATGGGAGGTGACACACCACAGTGGGCAGCTGCCCCTACATGTCCTTGAATGGGGCTGACTTGACCCACCATTCACATCAAGAGTGTGCACTTCCCTCCCAATGAGAGGCTGTTGAGAAAAGGGGCCTGTGACGATTACTTTTGTGTGCCAATTGACTGGGCCATGGCTGCGCCTGGAGAGTTGGTCAAACATTAATGTGGGTGTGTCCTGAGGGTGTTTTGGGTTGAGGGTATCCTCAGTGTTGGCCTTAAAGTTCTCTGGAAATCCTAGGAAGGTACCTGTGGCAGTCACTGTGCTCAATTCCCTTCCATTCAGCACCTGCCACCTGGGCTCATCTCGCCTTATTTCCTTCCCTACCCAAGGGAACCTTCTAGAGCAAACACAGTGAATCAATCATAAGAATAAATGTGTGACTTCCTTCTAATGTGTTGCACAGATGCAGGATATACTCCTGGCTCATCTTCCTCTGCCTTAGAGATGCTCTCGCTGCACTAAATATTTTGGCACTAGGAGAACATGACTTTAAGTATTTAACATGGATGTATTATTTTTGTGACACTCTTCATGACTGTCATTCT